CTAATGGTTTCAGAGTAACTATTTCTGCAATTTAATTTTATGGGAGTGATTATCTTGCTGTCCACACAGTCCTGTTTTATGGCTCTCTGCAGCCACTAGCAACAGTAGGTTTCTAACCTTTGTGCACAGGCTTTTCTGATTATTTGGGCAGTGCAAGAACAGGCCATCCTGAAAAAATGGAGTAGTTCAGCTGTATTTCGGATTGCTGAAAGGAAACATCTGTGTCGTAGTCTGTTCAATAATCAATCTTCCTGAGGAGGACATGAATATCAGTTGAGCCAGTTGACTAGTAAAGTGAATTTTGCTGTTTGGGGGTGGTTTGCTCGAAAATTTTACTCCTCAGAGATTATTAGTTTGATAAATCAAGTTCTTACTTGTATTGTTCAAAAACCTCTTACTGGCATTGCATTATTGCTTGGCATATTCATATTGCGTTCAGTGGAAGTGTCTGGAAGGCAATTCTATTGCTTATGCCCATGCCTGTGTCGAGTAAAATAGCAAACTTAATTGTTAATGACTGGCTGGGAGCATGATTGGAAGTGACTCTCCCAGTGTGTAATATGCATGTTCATTGTGATGATGAACTGACCATCAGGAAAACACTTGCCAGTTGGTTCCTCTTATTTCTGGTAAACATCATCTTCAACACACTATAATGGGAACTGTTTGTGATGAAAGCTGTATTGCTCTGCTCTGTAAATCCACTATGAAAGTTTGGTTGCTAATACAATCCACTCTGAGTATTTGAGACTGCCACAAATCAACCGCATCAGTTAGCCAGCTCTCTTTTCAAGTATGGAATTGTGGGGTTATAACATTGGTAACTGGCTTGTGTGCTTTGATAATGAGGCAGTATGGATAGGGCATGCGCCTGCAATCTAGAAGACTTGGATTCACTTGCTTGACGTGTTGTGACCTTGGGCAGATCACTTCTCTCTCTCTCTTTTTCCCTACCTGTAAAATAGAGTGCTTTGGCAATAGTCTCTGGGTAACAAGAAAACATTCAACAAATACATTGGAAGCAAGAGGAAGACCAAGGATAAGGTAGGCCCATTACTCAATATGGGTGGGGGGAAACAATAACAGAAAATGTGGAAATGGCAGAAATGCTTAATGACTTTTTTGGTTTGGTTTTCACCAAAAATGTTAATAGTAATTGAACATCTAACATGGTGAATACCAGTGAAAATGAGGTAGGATCCAGAGGCTAAAATAGTGAAAGAACAAGTTAAAAATTCCTTAGATGAGTTAGAGGTCTTCAACTCATCAGGGCCTGGTGAAATACAGTGTAAAATACTCAAGGAGCTAACTGAAGAGATAGCTGAACCATTAGCAATTATCTTTGAAAAGTCATGTAAGACAGGAGAAATTCCTGAGGACTGACACTATATTTGCCCCTTTTCCAATCTAGAAAAAAGGGAAATAAGGACAAGCCAGGGAATTACAGACCAGTCAGCTTAACTTCAGTATCTAGAAAGATAATGGAGCATATAATTAAACAATCAATTTACAAACACCTAGAAGAAGATAAGGTGATAAGTAACTGTATGGATTTTCCAAGAACAAGTAGTGTCAAACCAACCTAATAGCTTTTTTTTTTTTTACGAAGGATAACAAGCCTTGTGGATGGGGGGAGTGGTAGATGTGGTATATCTTGAATTTGGTAAGGCTTTTGATACTGTCTTGCATGACCTTCTCATAAATAAATGAGAGAAATACAACCTAGATGGAGCTATTATAAAGTGGGTGCATAACTGGTTGGAAACCATCCCAAGAGAGTAGTTATCAGTGGTTCACAGTCAAGCTAGAAGGGCATATCGAGTGGGGTCCTGCAGGGATCAGTTGTGGGTCCGGTTCTGTTCAATATCTTCATCAATGATTTAGCTAATGGCATAGTGAGTACACTTATAAAGTTTGTGGACGATATCAAGATGGGAGGGGTTGCAAGTTCTTTGGAGGATTAAAATTCAAAATGGTCTGGACAAACTGGAGAAGTAAATAGGATGAAATTCAATAAGGACAAATGCAAAGTACTCCACTTAGGAAGGAACAATCAATTGCACACATACAAAATGGGAAATGACAGCCTAGGAAGGAGTACTGCGGAAAGGGATCTGGGGGTCATAGTGGATCACAAGCTAAATATGAGTCAACAGTGTAACACTGTTGCAAAAAAAAAAAAAAAAAAAAATCATTCTGGGATGTATTAGCAGGAGTGCTGTAAGCAAGAGATGGGAAGTGATTCTTCCGCTCTACTCCACACTGATTAGGCCTGAACTGGAGCACTTTGTCTAGTTCTGGGTGCCACATTTCAGGAAAGATGTGGACAAATTGGAGAAAGTCCAGAAAAGAGCAACAAAATGATTAAACATCTAGAAAACATGACCTATGAGAGAATTTGCAAAATTTGGGTTAGTTTAGTCTGAAGAAAGAAGACTGAGGGGGGGCATAACTTTTCAAGTACATAAATTTTCTCCCTCCTTGTAACAATCTTTTATTCTCCTTAACCTCTGAGAATAGGACAAGAAGCAATGGGCTTAAATTGCAGCAAGGGCAGTTTTGGTTGGACATTAGGAAAAACTTCTAGTGCTGCAGTCAGGGTAGTTAAGTACTGGAATAAATTGCCTAGGGAGGTTGTGGAATCTCCATTGTTGGAGATTTCTCAGAGCAGGTAAAACACCCGTCAGGGATGATCTAGATAATACTTAGTCCTGCCATGAGTGCAGGGGACTGGAATAGATGACCCCTTGAGGTCCCTTCCAGTCCTATGATTCTATTCTATTGCTGGAAAGCAATATCTAGGAATTGAGGTGCCAGGATTCCTCCTTGAGAGAAACTTTTTAGTGTGCTAAAGCTAGTGTACATCTTTTATGACTGCTATATGAACAAGATAAAGGATATGGGTGAGAGGAGAAACTCTGGAACTTCACATTCAGGTTATGTGAAATGTTTTAAGCAGCTAGATTGCCTATGTTGGAGCAGAAGTATGTTATTATATAAAGGTATATTTGAATATATAGTTCAATGTGTGTGGAAAAAACATGCTCTGAGCTTAATGCTGCAGTAGATTTTCCTTGAATATATTGAACTCTTCAGTGAGGCATAAGGTAAGATCAGATATCTATAAGCCCAGGCTGAAATTTCAGTCAGCCAGCCTAGTCACAAAAAGCTACATTACCTGCCAACGTTGGATCACCTCATTCAGCGCTCAGTTGCAACTTTATCAGATTGCAAGAGAAAAACAACAACAGATAAAGTTTAGCCTGGTTGAAGCAACTTGATTTTTATTAATGCAAGCACATCCAGTCAAACACAGAATATCCTGCTTTATGGTACAGCTTTATATGTAGCAATGCAGTTCAGAATAGCAGAACACAGTATTTAAGGAATGTATCAAATGGAAGGAGGAAAAAAATTAAAAACAAACCCATGTAGACACTGCACTGATTTCAAGTATATACTAGGACTGATAGACCAGTGAAGTGCACATTCATGTAAAAGCTTTTAATACACATACAGAAAGTGTTCTAAAATTGCATTTCAAATATATATTTTCTTAAATTTTAAGCATCCCTTTTTAAATTTCAATTACATAAACAAAGCTGATACACAATCCCTTTTTATAGTGTCTGACTATATCACTAGCTAGAACTTCTCTGAAAGTGCAAAACACTGTAATAATACAGTATAAATATTCTTACTCTACCCCAGGGCTGAAAATCAGTACTTCAGCACAGGAAAAATAGCAGCAGATCACAAGAAACAGAGCTATCCTCGCTCTTTCTCTGGGCCGTTGGTGTTCACAGCTAGCATTTGTACTTCCTCCTTCCACTTTAATCAGATTGTTTGTTTAATGGCACTATTTAACTTTTGTTTGTTGCTCTTTGATCTCAGTGCTATGGGAACAACAAAAAGTCAATTCCTTCCCCTACATCCTCCCCTCCCCTACCTGGTCTATTTACTTTTCAAAAGAATAAATATCTAGGGAAAAAAGCTCTCGTTGGAAACATTAAGGGCTTAACACTGCAAACGCTTACAGCGAGTAAATGCAAACAGGACTACTTAAGGTTGTAAGCATTCAGTAGGAAGCGTTTGCAGGATTGGAACAGAGAAATTGCTTTAACAGACCTGACCTGTGGTCCAGCTAGTCCAGCGTTCTGTCTCCAACAGAGGTCAGCACAAGATACATCAGAGGAAGGTACCTGCCCACCTACATGAGCATACAGCACTAACTTGCTCATAGGCCAACCTTCTTCCCAACCCCCTCAGTTAGAGATTGGTTAATGACCTGACATATGAGGGTTTGTATCCCTTCCGAGCTCTTGATGGCATTGAAACAATCCTTTCTAATGTAACTGTCTGGAGGTTCTCATTCTCTAGATAAATATCCAACCCTCAGGCCCTAAGAGAACAAGTGTTGGGAAGGAGAACCGACAGTCATGGGTAATAGTACGTTCATTAAACAAAATAAATCTTAATCGGAGACTGATTTTTTTTGGTCTCCCTCCTGGTTCAGAAATTATGGGAATGGGGAGGAATAAAATCTTTAAATGATGAATTTTTTTTTCTGAAAATGGATAGCCTGAAGTGTAATATGAGCTGCTCAGACTCACTGGTTATCATAGCCAAATTATCCTAAAATCAAGAACAGTTAAAAGGAGAAATTGGAAGCATCATTGGTTTATAAATCATCCCTAATTTGGACCCTGATTTGGGGTTTAAAGGCCTGATCCAGTGCCACTGGATGCTTTTAACTTAACATAACTTCAATGGCCTTTGGCTGAGGCCTACAATGATAGCTTGAATATATGCCAGAATAATCGGATGCCATAGATTCTCTTAGTTTTAATTGGTTGTCTGTCAATTCAGGCTAGCATTTTCAAAAGGACCTAGGGAATTAGATGCCCAAATTGAATGGAAATGGCATGTCTCACTCCTTTAAGCTTCAGCTTCAAATTTGATGTCCCAGTTCACGTCCTCCCTCCCCCTCTTTAAAACTTATTTTCCAAAAGACACATTACATCCATTTTGTAGAGATTATCTAGATTAGACACCCTTCTTTTTAAAATAAATCCCTGATAAAGAAAATGAAAAATATTCTGCATCCAGAACTCAAAGGATAGTTCCCAAAGTGTTAATACTTAAAAAAAAAAAAATCTAGCAGTTGTCCCGTTTCTTCTCTTCAAAGCACGTAACAAAAATATGTTTTGCTGCACCTTCATTGTTGTAGGCAGGCATACTCTAGTTCATGTGCCATATCTTCCAGTTTATTTACAAAGTACATTATAGCTGGTTTTTAGACATCCATATTTTTATTTTGCTTGCTTCCAGCCCAGAATCATAGAAGGTACACTGGACAATTTCAGTACCTTGTAAGGCACTATTCTCAGATGTAAGAGAGGAACAGCCTCACTGCGGATGTCTAAGGCTCTGGTCCTACAGACACTGATGCACCCCTTTGACTTGAGCATGTGAGTTGTCCCAGGGATTTGAATGGGACTCTTCATTCCTTCCCTTTAACTCCTCACCTGCTTAAAGTTACAGGGATGTGTCAGTGTTTGTAGGATTGGGACCTAACGGTGTTGAACCTGTGCAGTGTTTTGGTTGTATTTGGTATGTGTGTGTTGTTTTTAAGGTGGAAGTAATCAAAATTAAAAAAAGATTTGGATGTCATTAGACTAAGACCTCACCATGGATACCATCTCCCATGATACACTTCATCTCTGAGAACAGGGCCCTGCCCTTGTGTTTTTAAAATAAAAACCAAAATCCTTCACTTTTAAGTGCCTTAAGGTTGACATGTGAAATATTTACCACATTTTTATTTCATAAAAGGTATTGTATATACAAAACAGACCTCAGCCAGTGAGGTCTTGTTTATCTCAACCCAAGACATTCACTATTTAAAAACAAAGTTCTTCCTGTGTGCTTTAGATTCTGCAGGTCAGATCCAAAAATCTCAGGCCCTATTAAGCAGAGTTGTCCTAGAAATGAAAAAAATAAATCACATGTATTAGAGCAATTCTTCTCCCTACCACAATGAAAGAGGCATTCTTGTTCAAGGTAATGAAGTTGTGTCAAATTCCTTGCTTTTATTGTCAGAATTCTTTCTTTAAGGGCCAGATCCTAAACTGGTTTTACCTGGGATAGCTCAACTGAAGTCAATAGAGTTGCTGATTTACACCAGCTGAGAATCTGGCTCTAAATCTTTCCTCCTATCTGATCAGAATGGCAAGTGTGTGAATGATGCCCTAGAGTTGCATTAACATTAACTTGCCATTGTGCTGCTTCTAGCACTCACTCCTAACATCTCTGCAGGAGTCCTCTCCCTGCCCTGACCATCCCTGGGCATCTGTACAGAAAGGGCAGCCATAGCTTCTTGCACTGTCAACGGTACTGCAGTCCCCAAAGGATGGGTGGGTTCAGGCAAATACTAAACCCTCCCCAACACACTGGCTAGTGCTTGGAGGGTAGTGCTGGGTTTAGTCCATGCTACACCTCCTGTACGTAAGTAGCAACTACTGCTCTTGAGCAGGCTCCTCCAAGCATTCCTGGTGGCACTATACCTTCCTCTGCATTACCCTCGCATAATGTCTCCAGCCATCATTGCAACCATACTTTAACTCTGAGAAATAACACCCTATTATTCCATCTCTCAGCCTCTTCAGGGTCTCTTCAACTAGGATTGTGGAGTCAAAATTAAATGTTCAAAGAGGTTGAAAATCACTTATAAATAGTCTTGGGACCTACATTTTAATTTCAATGTGTGGTGTGCACAGCTGAGTAAATCAGTTATTTCTCTTTGTATGCAAATGGAAAGGGGAAATTTCAAAGCTATGTGTCCATCCACACCGTACATGGAACATTCAACTCTGGCTGTGTATATGCTGAGTGCACGAAGTGAGTGCATTACAAAGGAGATTGTTTATGGATACAGAAAGGGGCTAGAATTTTGAAAAGATTTTATACCTGAGTGTCTTCCAGCTGTCTTTTTCCATGTGATTTTCTGGACCTTCACTTTCGAAGGATGCTATAAACAGAGCTAGATAATAAAACAAATAAGAGGGATCAAAAATGGATGTGTCCAGTTTCCCTTTTCTTAAAGAATCATTAAAATAATCAATGAAATAATGATGTTGGTAGGTGCCGGATTAGTAAAATGTGGGCAGTGGCAGTACAAACTTATCTAAACTGCCATGTCATTTTTCTAATGTGACCTGGAGGGCGATTTCAGGAAGATAGAATGGCATTCATACTTTTTTTTTTTTTGGTTACACATTCCTTTATTTTTCCTTCTCCGGTGCTCTTCCCATGCCTATGCAACAATAGAAGGAAAGACCCACTATAAACTTAAATAAAAGACAGAGCTTTTACCTTCTTCACTGTAAATAGGTGCTGTGAGTAGATAACTCTGGATCTTCTTGTCCTTCTCAAAAGGACACTCTACTTGCTTCCATGTTATGAAATCATGAATTAGTCTTGAAATTTCCCAAAATTTCTGCATGAGGCAATAAAAAACAACATAATATTAAATAAAAATTTTCTTTTGGTTTCCTATCAAATTCAGGCTCCTTGGCCTCAGGTTCAAGGCCCCTTAATCTTGCTCTGGCTGATGTCTCTGATCATTTTCCTCTACTCCACCTTGTCTCTCCCTATCCTGTCTCCTTACTGCTCCTTTTAACCTTCTTTCATTCCTAGCTTCCCACCTGCTCTTCTGGGGTCTCCTAGACTTGGAACAGACTGTCTCCATTTGCCAAACAACAAATATTTCTCTCCTCCTTTATATCCCACAGCCCACCAGCAAGCCTTCCTCTTTCTTCTCTAGAATCACGAGCTGTTGACCCATTTCTTGTTTTGTGTGTGTGATCTCTCCATTGTACTAAAATTTTCAAAGCAGCCCTAAGTATAAGCTCTTCAGAGAAAGGGTCTTAGTTCATTTGTAAAGCACCCCTTAAATTTAAACTATGCAAACATTTTTTAATAATTTATGTAATCAACGGCTATTTTTTCCACTAAATATTTCCAGGAGCACCATTTCTCATATATGTTAGAATGAATGTGGTTGTGTATGTGGTGTTTCGTGGTTTTTTTTTTTTTTTAAAGTCAAATGTGCTTTTAGGAGTATATACAGAATATCAGAATGTGTCTGCAATTATTATTCAGGGAGAGAATCCAACTCTGGTCCAAATTCTGCTATGTAAATCAAATGTAGATTTAAAAAAAAAAAAAAAAATCTAATAGCAGCAGCCATGGACTGAAGTACTAAGTAGGTTTTGAGGAGTCCAGTGCTGTTTCTGGCAGTTTTCTCATTGACTTCAAATAGAAGCAGGATTGGGCCCCAGGTCTGTACTGTAAATAAATTTTGTATTTCCTTATTGGATGCATTGTGTATTGGACATTATTGATGTGAGATACTTGATATTTGAATGCCAAGGGGGGAGAATGGTAACTGCTATTCCTAGGTATTAAGATGTATTCTTCATGTTTGTTGTGCAGATGAAATGAGGACTTGAGAGTTATCAGATTCCTTAAAAGGAGTGCATTGGGCTATAGCAATGAATCAACTTGGGCTAGAAAACATGTTTTAGGTGTTTGTTTTTTAAATAGTCCAAAGTGGGAATTTTAGACAGAGTAGGGGTTCTAAAGACAAACATTCCAGAGAGAACTCCATGCCCTACTCTGACTTTTCTCCCAATCTATCACTCCTTGTTAATCCTTTATTAGTGCAGGGCAAGATGGGAACTCCTAGTTCAAGCCCTTGTTTGCGTTAGTCCACTGCTCTGAGAGAGTCCGAGTTCTCTCCTGGTGCCATTTACCAGAGCTGCTGCTTTTGGCCATTGTAATCTTTTCCATATATCTAGCAATTCTCTATAAAGAGCAAATTCCTATAGGCTCTGACCTTTACTTAGCTTCTGTTCTCTGGAATCTGGATCTGACATTTGACAGATGTTAAAATAGTGTTGTAACTACTATCCTTCACCACCCACCCTCAATCCTTTTAGGATTCCGAATGCCTTAATGTCACCTATTGCTGCAAGAATATAGACCTAGTGTTGTTAGCTTTTCTATTTAAGTTCTTTAAATAGTTCAGGCTGTCTCACACAATTCTTCCTCTGTAGCAATCTGGTTCCTGAGCAGTCAGCCAGAAATGTGCTTAGAATTCCAAATGTGTCGTCACTAGTCCTCCACATGTACCTGGGAAGGAGTATCTCATGGGAAAGAAAATAGGGTACCCAACTTATGTCATCATTGTTCACCTACTGGAAGAGTCTGTTGTGTGTTCCTTCAGTACATTTATTAGTTTTTTTTGAAGTAGTACTAAATACCATTTGGCCGCAGCATGTGGTTATTCAGCACAGCAGCTCCTACTGATTGTTACAGAATTTGTACAGCTAAACTTACATGTACTGCTTTCAAGACTTAGGAATTTGTGTTTCTTTAAATCTCTACAGTACCTTGTGACTCCAAGTTCGATCCCCTCTCTCTGTCTAGTCAGTTTTTTCCAGTGTTTGCTCCATTGCTGGAGTGAAGCTTGATAGACCTATGGTGCAACATCCTAGACCTCGCTTAGATTTGTTCTCAACTTTAGGTGTAACATCCACACTTTTAACCTATTGGTTACTTCCCCTATTTCTAATACCCTCTAAAGATTGTTCTGTTAGAGGTTCAGTACTTCTCTTGGTATTTGAGGAGGAACCATGTCCGGTCTAGTGAATCACCCATCTTCAATAAGTCAAATTACTCAGTAGGAGAGAAACTTCAGTAACCTAGTTCTTGCTTATATGAAGCAGCAGTGTCCATTAGATGGGAGAGCTTTCTAAAACAAACCAATGAGGTGCACACTAAATTAGCCTGTGTAGACCCTGTTTGAAACAGCACTACATTGATGAGCACTAGGGAACTTTTAGTTTGTGCTAGTAGGGTCTACGTGGGCCAATTAGTGCACATGTTGGTGTGCTTTAGAAATTGCACCCTTCTAGTGATCAGTGCTGCTCCTTGTAGACAAGCCCTTAACGTGAACTTGCTTGAATCAGGATCTCTAGATTTGGCCCAGTGTCAACTAATTAACTGTTATCAGTCAAAATACTTTTCTTGTCCTACTCTAGAAAAAAACACCTAATGTTTGTCACAATCTTCCATTTTTCCCTCCAGAAGAATGAAATAAAGTTAATTTGTTTTCTGCTGCATCTAGCCTTTTATAATCCAGCATGGCTTCTTTTGTGCTTGGAGATTATTTTTTTGTTTTCACAACTTCTGCTATCTTTTAATTTTTCTATACTGGCTCTTTAAAATCCTCTTTTGTATACTCTCAATACTATTCTATAAATTCCTCCATCCACCCCACGTGTGATCTTGTAATTTCTCTTTCATGACTTTTCAAGCCTTTTATTATCCTAGCTCCCTTGTTAAGTGTTGTTGAAGGATTTTCCCTTTTTTTCTTTTAGCATCCTTCATACTAGTATTTCATCACACTATATTCTACCCAGCATTTCCCTCTTCTTCTCTGCTGAAATCCTGTCTTCTTTCAATTTGATCTGTCTCATGTGTCAGTTTGGTTAACAGAGCCAGTTGATTAAAGTCACCCCGTTCGCATACTTTCTACATTTTCTTGTGCATTTTGCCTATTCTTTTATATACAGCTTTTAAATATGGTATCACTAGTGTTTTCAATTGTATTGGAATGATCAGTTAACACAGATGAATTAAATTTCTGCAGTTTAGATAAGTTTCTGTGTATGTATATGTGTGTGTGTGTGTGTGTGTGTGTGTGTGTGTGTGTGTGTGTGTGTGTGTGTGTGTGTGTGTGTGTGTGTGGTATTTGATCTGTAATCTAGACGTACTAAATCCAGTGCATTATACTTATAGGAATTAGATCTCTAATGCTCACAGTCCTCCCCCTGGAAAACTACTTGCCTCTGTGTATAGATTACAGGCAGGCTGAATAATTTAGGAGACATACTTATACTGGACTATAAGAATTCTCTATTTACAAATATTTGGGAATTTAAAAATTAATATACAGCATTTGATTATGCTACTTCTATAATTGGAGAGACCTACCTTGAAGTTTACCTGTCCATTGGGTAAGCGGTTTGTGTGCATCTTGTGCAGAAAGTAGATATCTTTAATGAACAGGTTGAAAACGGGGATGACAATTTTTTCCCGATTGCTGTTGGCAGTCTGAGATCTCTGTGCTGCTCCTTGCAGGGCTGTCCGGTAATTACAAAAGTTGCTGGATGGGTCCATATGATGCTGTTTTAAATACCCCCCCCCCAAAAAACATTATTATTATGTTTCTCATAGATACAGGATCTAATCCAATGATTTTGTATAATTAGATCAACTGCTGAAAAAAAAACAGAATAACATCTGCTTTTCTTTACTTCTTTTAAGATCCATTTACAATAAATCAAAACAGGCCAGTCAATGTATGTAGTTTGGATCTAAGCTTTCCCTAGCAGGTGTTTGGATGCAAGGTACTGGATTGATATTACATTTAATAAACACCTTTCGGTGGCTTAGGGAATGTTTAACGGGAACAACGTGCTTCCCTAAAAGACACTTAATCTACATTTCTATCTGCCTGTTGATGATTGTGTTTTGAGAAGTTTCTTAGTGAAAAAATGTTGATCCCAGATCTCCACTAGATGGAGTACTTTAATTAGAGATCAGGGTAAAAAAGACCCATCCATTTAGATCTAGAGGTGGGAGAAATGGTCACTGTTAAAGGAAGTGCCTAGGAATATCTTTGGTTTGAGAATTCATTCCACTGTTAGAAAAGTGTCATCTGAAGGGAATTAAAAAGAAGAAAATCTATATCAATCTTTTTCCCCATGGCAGGGAGAGGACTTCAAGTCAAGAGAAATGGTGCCAACCATCCCCAACTTATATGCATTCACACCTATGCCTAAGGCATTAGTTCCTGATAATTTTTATTAAACAGGGTGTAAATCTTGTATATACCTCTAAAACATCAAATTTGGCTGTTTTGACCTTGGACCAGGTTTTCTTTAGCCGTGCGACAGGACTCAGGTTCATGCCGGCTGAAATGTAAGGGAGAGAAAGATGATTAAAACAAAGTTCGAGTGTACTTTTTTTAAATGTCAGTGTTGCATTTTTACACTCTTGTGCATTTTATTCTCTGGAAGACACTTCACAGCTGAGACTTCCAGCTAACACCCATTGCATTAATCTGTCACGGGTGCATGATACCACAGCAGGGGGTATGCCTACAGATGGAGTCAGTGAAGCTGGAGACTATGTGACCATTCTCATGTTGCTTAGGCTTTCAAGTGTGGTGGTCTTGACTATAAGTCAGCAGCTATGCTGGGGATACTCACAGATAATGGCCATCATTGAGTTGAAGTTTCCGATGTTGAAGCACTCTCTTGCCACATCAATAAAAAATTCCACTATTCTCGTCCGCTGCTTTTTCTTCACAACCTGAAACAAAGAACATGCCTTTGAGATGAAAAGGAAGGTATGTGTGTGAAGGGGAGCGGTGACTGGTGACTTTCAGAATGTGCTGTTGGAATTGGTGTCTCTATGGGCTGTCTCCACATGAGAGCTCTTATGAGGCAGCCTTAAGGGTTTTCTGTCCAAATTCCCTTTTTTATTAAAAAACAACCACTGGATTTGGGGCTCCTATCAAGTCCTTGCCCAGTTGAGGGGAAGTGCAGTTCTTTGTTCACATGTGAGCTAAAGGCTTAGGGAATAGCATATAAACAAGCCAGACTCTATTAAGTAATTTCCTTGTACCGGGGGGGGGGGGGGGGGGGAGAGAGAGAGAGAGAGAGGGAGAATGTAGCTGCCATCAAAATGCCAAAGATGAACCAACAAACGTCAAAGAAAAGAATGCCAAGCTTGTGTCCCAGAGGAGCTGTAGGTCTTAATTCCAGGGGGAAATGAAAAGGGAAGGGGAGAGAGTGTTTCTCAAGCCTTAGGTGTTTTTAATTTTCACTAAGGAGATTTTACCCAAACTTCTTAATGACACTCGAGGATGATGACAGAATATAAATAATTTCCCTTTACTGCAAAGATGCTAATGGGTGAGGCTAGTTATCTGCGTTGCATGTTTGGTTTCCTTCCCATCAGATGCAGTGCCGCATGCTGGTTGTGCTTTACCAATGGCTGGCATCCAAAGCCTATTAGTACTAAAATTACTCTCATCCCATTGGCTTAAATTCCTTTATTAAAACTCTCTCCTGCAGTCTGACCCGCAGGGCTGGCCTGGCTAATACACATGTGGTCCTCTGTGTCCCTTCCATCATTCATCTTCAGCCGGCAACTATTTTTAAACAGGATATACTCTGTTATCTCGCTGTTGTTTTGCTGATGTCTCATGACAAAAGAAAATGGTTCAATAGTCACAAGTTTGGCACAATCTTCAGCATGGAGACTAAGAATGTTGTTTTGGTTGCTTTAATAAATGTGTTGGCCCTGCCTGACAATCCTGGAGGTTTTTTTGTAATTGAGTATCCATGGGAGCAATCTCTTTCTAGAGACTAGTAATAACCAATGAGATTTCAAGAGGCCACGACTGGCATCTTTGTAGCCAGTCTCAGCAGAAGGTTATAGACTGAGTGGGAGTGGAGACTGAACTGCCCACAGAGCAGATTTTTCATTTCAAAGAGCTGATACATGTCGGTATTGATATTGCCCTTGCAGCTCTACAGACTTAGGGCCTGATCCTCAGCTGGTGTAAATCAGCAGTGTCCCATAGACTTCACTGGAGCTGTGCTCACTTAACTTGCAGGGTTATCAGCACTGCTTCCTTGAAATGTTTATTTCAAAGTGGCAACATGCTCCCGGAGCACCAGATGTGTCATGTGCGAGAGCTCTCCTTTCACTTGATCACCACAACGGGAAGATGTATACAAAAAGAGATTGATTGGGCAGTACAATTTTTGTGCATTTTCCCATTATAGAAGATACATTTAGCTTATATGGATTCTCTCTGTCTCTTCGCTTCCCACCCCCCACCCCACTCAGTTTCTTCTCCTTAATCCTGTGTGTACAACAGCAGAAGGTATTCCCATGGCATCCAATGATGTCCCAAAATAAGCAGAATGACTTAATTGCATAATGCTATGGAAGGACAGAGTGAATTTGCAAAGCACCAAAACATTTGTTTTGCTACTGGTAGCTTTGGTAATAGCCAAGCATGCTATGAAAACACCAAAAAGCTATGTTAAATCAAACGTTATGGAAGTTCCCCTTCAGTGGGTGTAACTAGCATAAATATGGAAGCTATGTAGAAATCTAAACCACGGGGCTTTGAACCTATAAAACACTGAAACATGTACATAACTTCATGGATGAGTTGTTCTATTGACTTAAGTGAGACTACTCAGGTGCACAAGGAGGTGAATTTACTTAAATTCCTGCAGGATCAGGGTCCCTATGCATAAAATCACAATGGTGTGATTTGTCTTTAAAGGCGGGGTTCTTTGATAGAAAGAAGATTCCCCCAGTACTTACCCTACAAATTTCTGTAGCCACCAGCATGCTGAGGCAGTTGAACCAGTTGTCATAGGCCTCCAAGGTGTAGGTTTTGGTAACATCGCCTCGGCACTGAAAGAGAAGAGGCCATATATTAATCCCCACTAAACCCGGATAAAGATTAGTGTAAATGTATCCTGTCATCACATGTTAACTATAAACTGGTATCCGGTAATGAGGTAACCTCACTGAACAGCTCTGGATTATGAGCACAAAGAAGGGTGCAGATATTCCTACTCAGTTTTTTTTTCTGCTCAGGGGGGTTGTGAGAGAGAAGAGGGCAAGGGTTTATAGATTGTTCAAATGTGTCCAAATTTTCCTGCCCTTTACCCATCTTCCTCAAAAGAAATGTGTGTGTGTTCGTTCTCTCTCTCTCTCTTTCTCTCATTTAGCATGTTACCTTATTATCTGAAGAAAGTTAAGAAAAAAAAGTTGCCTGGGAAATTATAGTGTCAATTTTTTAAGGATGCCCCACTAGATTATTAGAAGTGATGCTTCAATTAAAATTTACTTTTTTTGATTATTTCTGCTTAATCTGTAGAGAGCATCTATAATAATATCTCAGCAGATTTCCCTCGTTCCTGTTCTTACAACAGATTTGCCATTGAGGGCCAAGGGGGAAATGAAGGGGCAATTGCCATCTCCAGCATCTTGCCTTCCAAACTTCTGAACATCCCAATGTTAAAGCACCATAAAATATGAGGCGGAGCTGTTTCTTTGTTTTTCTTTCACTCTTTAGCTGTAGCTCCTCCGGCAAAGGGCAAAAAGTAACATAAACCCACAGTTAGAAGCAGCAAAACCAATGCTGGACACCTAGCAGGAGGCGTCCTTTTGGACTGTGCCATTTTACTGGTTAAGAGAAGATCTGTTTGTGTTCCACCCTCTGAACTATAATTCAGGTGCAGTGGGTCAAACCTGGTAGGCTCTCATCTCTGCTGGGTAGATGCCATTCTCAAAAGAGTGAATACCTCTGTATTCCCTGTTCAATATTTAAAAATAGTTATTCTTTCTTTCCCTACAAGTCTGCATGTGTTAGCATGTGTCTGGATGGCTGACTCAAGTTAACATTAGAGAGCACACTAATTTACATCAGGGAACTAGCAATGCTTAATCAACAGCGTCAGGATTTAACTAGCCCAGAGTTTCAAGAAGCATGAGGGAGCAGCCAGGTCAGAGAGTCTGAATGGTTTTCTGAACTGCTATAGCAGCAGGAGAAACTCAGATTTTCTTTGGTAAGACCAAAGAAAAAGACTATCATGGTGATTGTCCCTGATTATGGTAGAAACACTTGGAAACAGAAACCCAGGTAGTTTCAATACTGCTAAACCAGACTGACTAATTCTGTGGTAGTTGAACTGCCACAGAATTCTGCTACCTCCTAGCCTTTCATGAATCTGGCATACAGACATTTGAACTGCTGAGGCTCCTTACTCCTTACCCACACACGCACCTTGTGATTATCCAGGGAATCCATGTGACTGACAATCTGCATCAGATCCTCTGCGTAAATGTTGCTCACCCTCTCCTGCATTGGGGGGAGTAGGAATTGTCAATGTACAAAGACCAACATAAACAGATTCAGCTGAAAGATATGCCAATGGGGCCTAAGACATTACCAGAGTGGCCTTCATACCTCTCTCCTACAAGCTTTGCTCTAATTATCCTGATTGAGCTTAGGCACCAACAATGAGTTAACTTGCTCTAGTTCTGTTCTTCTGAGACCCCAATATTCCGAGTGTGACCCTCTATCTCTCTAGTACCAGTAGGGAACTAGGAAAGAAGCCTCTACCCTGGCACCAGCTCTCGCTTTCCCTCCATTTTTTGTCAGTGGATTGGAAGGAGAGGCCAAACACTCTGAGGTACCACATGGTTGCCTTCATAGTAGCTTGACTATAAAGCTGGCCCTGGCTTTTAGAGACCTAACGTTTGGGAGTGTCTTCCTTCTCACCCCTGAAAGCACTGTACCCTCTTTCTTCCCTCACAGATTTACCTGGTTGCTCTCACACATTCATCACTTCCCATCTGTTAGATTGGAGCACTTTAATTACACTGAAGGCCTGATCTTACTCCCACTGAAGTCAGTGGCAAACTCACGGCCGTTAATATGTTAACATGCAGTAAATAGAAAACGAAAGGACTAAAATGTGGAAATCCAAATCTCACCAGCTCAATATGAGTTAGCTGCTGCGCCAAGATCAGTGGGTCACAACATATGCTCAGTATGTCCTTCTGGGTCGACTGTGGCTTGTTTTTAAGGATGGTTCCTTTATCAGTAACAGGTTGCCTGAATTTCTCTTTTATCTCCTGGTACTGACTCCTTGCAGAGAGGGTCATCAGTAGATTCTGTGTCATCTGGCTGATGATCTTCTTCACAGTTCCATTTTCCTAAGCGCAAGATGACCGAATCATTGATAAGTAAGAACCTTTACTTTGTACTGTGAGTACAAATATGGGATTTGTATCAGCAAGGAATTTCTGACAGGTTAATAAAGCTGCTTAGCATCTGGTATTTTCTATCCTATCGTCAGAGCTGATTTTCATGTGGCAAATGAGCTCATCTCAGGGTACTCTAAATATCTATGTAGCTTTGCAAATTAACCTTCTCACACCCTCCTCCCCAACTTTGCTTTCAATAGCTTAGCAGCAATTGCAGTATCTCTTCTTGGCTCAGAACCCATTTCAAAAGTGACTGGGTCAGTCCTTTGGAAGCAGGTGTACTGAAAGGCTATGGGTCTTCTGCCTTTGCAAGGCTTCTTGTCTTTTTCTGTGTAAGAAGTGGCAAAATACTTGCTACCAATAGTCTGGCTGGCCTGAACAGAGTCATGGGAATTCCCATCCTAGATCACACTAATGAAATGTTCTAGCTCAGCATCCTGCCTGCAGCAGTGGTTGGCTGTGCACCCTGCAATTCAGAGAAGGCCCCAAATCTCCACAGTGCACTTGGCCAAACAAAGGTGCCCTACTCTTCAATTTTCCAGAATAGATGTATGAAAAAAGACCTGAAGGAAGAGGATAGGCACAAGCTGTTGCACTGACTATATTTCTACTGATTACTCCATTAATATACATTCACTTTCCATATTGCATTTCATTACTAACTGGCAATCTGTGCAAGTTGAATTATTTCTGCTGTGACTTGGTTGCACATCTCCAGCTTCTAGTGAACATTTGGAGCTGGGAATGCATGACCATGATGGTCCTTTATGAATCCAGCAGTTGTGCACCTTGCCTCACAAAGTGCCTGTGCTCCACTTGCTCTCATGTAGACTTCCTCATGACATCTCCCTGAGAAAAACAATTTGATTCCTTCCCAACTGCTTGATCCCGCTGTACCCCTTTAAATACCCTAACTGCCAAACCACAGTCTTCCTAAAAAGTGCTCCGACTCTCTCTCTCTTTCAGTTGCCAAATCAATTACTCAGCTTTCCTGTGCCTTCCTCTTTCCCTATGATATCACTCTCCTGGGTTTCCATGCATCAATTCCTTTGAAGTAAGGTGGTGTTTTAAGGGTTAATGTTGTTGCTGTCATGTTCTCTGCATCCAGAGTCAACTGGATGCACTGAAGTGGGGTGGAATGGGTCTGTGACTATTCAAGGAAGCCACCAATGTGCAGTGATGACTAAAAACTATGTAGCAGATGCAAGAGATGATGGCTATCAAAAATTTGTCTGTAGTATGCTATAATTAAGCAATAATAGTGTCATAACGTTGCTTTACAAGGCAATAATCTGGCTCCAAAGTGGAATCAAATAAGAAGCTGAAGGCAGCATAGTTTATCTTGATGAGGCAACAGGATTATTGCTCAGCAGCAGCTGGCTGGAGCTATTATTGCTATTATGCTACGAAAGCCTAAAATACAAGTTTGCGGGAGTTTCTTTAAGAGTTCTGATTCTACTCTGAGTTACACTGGGGTTTACACCATAAATCCATTGATTTCAATAGTGACAGCTGATTTACACCTACATAGATGAGGGGAGAATGGCCCCTTAGCAATGGATTATTTATTTTGCAAGATAAGGGAAGAAAGTTTAAATGTAGGAGAAAGTGAGAGTGGTGGGTTGTTTAGATATTTGTGTGACTATGGAGAAAGCAATTGGAATGAGATAAAACTTATGAGTTGCCTACAGTCCACATGGCTCTTGTGAATTTATAAATCTGAGTCTAAGAACACAGAGTCTAAATATTTGCTCATTCAGCCACAAAAATCTGTTATGCTGTCCTCAAGTCTCCAAGTCAACATCAGCATGACTTCCTTACATCTGTTTCTATTCACTCCTAATATCTTATACATCCAGAAGCTGAAAAAGGTGAAAAATTAAAAACCAAACCAAACCAAAAACCAATAACTTGGTTTTAGACACTGCTAGGTGATTTATTCAAACATAAAAGAACAGGAGACAAACAGTGAGGCTGGGAGCCATTCGCTATTTGTTAGTGTCAAATTACATTTCTAGGGGTCAGACACAGCCTAACCCTTCACAGCCAGAGAACTTGACATGTAGCCTTGTTAAAAGGATGAATGCTACGATACCATAATAAACAACATCACATGAAACCTCAGCAACCGGTGCACTGAGCAATTCCATAAAGCCAGTGATTTTTCTCCCAACTGGCAATTTATTCTTGTATATAAAGCTAGAGCATTTCCTCTTGTTCCCAATAACAGAGATTTGAAATGCTCCTATCACAACGGCTAAAAGTTTGAACTTGCTATATCAAAGTGGAAAACGTTTAAAAATGTATCACCTTTTTATGGCAGGATCCCTGCCAACTACTTTTTTTCCTGTTTATAAAGACAGCAGAAGGGCTATTGTAATCTACCTCTTTTTCACCTATTAGGACACTGACATTTTCTTAGTAGCATGCTGGTAAACAATACTGCTGACTCAATGAACTGGCATACTTCCTTTTGACAACAGCTGTAGCAGCTAATTGTATAATGACTTATTGCTGCCTCTTACAATGCTGTTAAACCTGTTGCTCTTCATCCTTCTCCTAAATCAAACAAAGCACATACATAATCCTGTTGTCATAAAAAGCTAGGGAGGCTAGTCTTTAAATGGATCCAAAACATTAGAAAACATTTTTTTCACTTTAATTCTTATGATCTATTCATGTTACTTTTTTTTTTAACCTTCAATTTCTTCAATATAGTCGTCCCCTCATACTCCCCACTGCCCCGTCCCTCTTTCTGACTCCAGTTTTGTAGTGACTTCCTTTGTCACGCGAGCTTCCTAACTGTTTCACAATAGGATTCTCCATTGCTAGTTTTAGCCACTCTGGATCTACCAAATTTGGAGGAAGTTTTCTCCTGTCTTACTAGACATGAAAGCTCACAACAGTTCAGATTTGTAGTTAGACCAGCGTTGAATAGGTAGACGCCAGCTTAAAGATCTTTCTTTGTGTTAGTATTACCGAGCTACGTGATACTCTTGTTACAGCTGTCGTCATAGTTCTCATTGGGGATTGGTCCCGAGGCATCGAGGACTAAAGCAAATGCTTTTATAGCTAGCATTAAAGGTTCTTTTGAAAGTTACAGTCCATGTGGATCAGGCACTGAGTGGGATGCATAAAATACACTATACTGTGTGTTGGAATTGTATTCTACCTTACAATCCGCTTTCTTTCTTCCTCCTCTCACCTCCTATACCATCAGCAGGTGCTGTGTTATCTCCCCCTGGGACTCGGCGATACACACCCAGTTTTTCCTAAGTTCACCTCCTAACCCATATCCAATGGTTGCTCTGACAGCTCAGCAGCTGCTATTCTAACCTGGTTAGGAGGTGCACAGCAATGGTGGGGAGAAAATACTAAGATAACCATATGTGGAAGAGAAACCTAGGAATACAGTTTATTTTCCCCCTTACCTCATCGCATTGTGTGATCCTGTGAGCAATCTCCTTCAGCTCCTTCATGGATTTCTCATCCTGGAAGTCATAGGGGAATGTTTCTGTCCATTCTTTCAGGAGCTGAATGATCTTGGCAGCAAAGGATTTTAGCTTTGCCTAGAGAGGAGTAGAGATGGGTTGATTACTGACCCACGGACCTCTTATTGCTGTGAAGGTGAGTGAATGCTTGATGGAGGAAAGTGCACATCCTGAGCCACAATCAAAAATAATTCAATCAGTAGCAGGTGTGTGCATTTACTAAAATATGTATTCAGTTGTGTTGATGAAATTACACAGAGAGCTCCTCAACTGATGTAAATTAGCCCAGCGCCATTGAAACTGGCTAGCTTTTATTTCTAAACCAAAAGCTTTGAAGATATTTTAAGGCTAGTCATAAATAGCTAGGGAGATGATGGTATTGTACAAGTGTTTTGTTCAACTGAAGTCAATGTTATGTGGCTGACTTACACCAACTGAGGACTAGATCAATACCTTAATTTCTTAATTGAAATGTACACAGCTGCAGTGTCATAACCAAGCATCTTTCCAGTGAAGCGCTCATAAAGAATGTTTTCCTTCTGTAGAATTTTTTTAATCAGGACCCCCAGATTGTGCTTTGTTTGAAATAACCAATCAAATAAATAAATGCTACAAAAGAGGTTGTATGTACTTTGCATTACATCTAAATCAAAAGGGACTTTGATAATAAAATGTTGGCTCTTGCTCCAAAAGCCCTCAGAGAAAGGAGTTAGCTCTTCACCTCTGTCACCTGACAAGTGAATTCTCTAGTGTAATGCACTGAGGCTGTTCCATCATGTGGATCTGATTTGGATGCTAATTAATCCAGCTTTGGTGGTGAAAGAGGATTGTACTGGTAAATTCAAAGGGATGTGGTTGTAAGGGGTTTGGAGAGAGTTTTAATAAACACTCCCCCCCCCCCCCCCAGTCAATGATCACTCTGCAATTTGACCAAGCTGAGTTAATTGGGAAGATGACTTTTTATATGGGCAGTTTTGTACTGTCCATAAAAGAGAACAAACTGAGGGTAGTGCTTCAGCAGAACCTCAGTAGAGTGCACGTGTTCTCGCTGATTCTGCACAGGACACAGCATCTTGAACAGCACTCTTGGCAAGCAACTGCCTCATTGCACAGGACATGGCAAATCCCATTTAACAAACCAGGCAACATTATGGACCATGGTCAAGGCGCACACAACTAGGAAGACAGCAAGTATGGAGTGAATTACTGAGGGTCTGCTCGGTAGTCGTAAGACTGGGAAATGATTTCGTTCACTATTTCCTAGGAGGGTCAAATTCTGCCAGCATATATCCTGTACACCTCCCCCCCCCCCAAATCAGCATAAATCAGTGTGGGTATATGGCATAAATCAGGGTGGAATTTGACTTTTGACTGTGAGAAGGAAGACTTTCTAATTTTAGTCTTGTTTATATTTAACTTTGGTTAAGAGACTCATCTGGTTCTAAAAGAAGCTTAGTTCTAAGAAAATAAAGAGGAAGTTTTCTCTTTTGTTTACCATCCCAGCTGAGTCACTGAAAAAGTTCCACTATGCAAAGTGCAGTTCCTCCTCAGCACTGGTTAGGGTACTTCCCTCTGTGATTTCCCCCTCCCACCTCCTGGAATTTACAGCAAGTCAGCTAGCAGGTTCAAGTGTCAGTAGAAGAAACAAATGGGTTGGAAAAGAGGATGTTTTGTGAGAACCTGACTGGAATTCCTGCTCTCCCCTCCCCCCCCAACAGCATGCTCAGTGAGATGAGCAAAATCCCCTCTCTGAGACACTTTTGTTAAATAAGCCTCTTGTTTTTATGACTTCTAACAGCTCACTCAAGTGTAATCAGTGGGAGAATTAACAATAGCTTCTCTGAATTTTAAAATAAAACCACGCAGAGTTTGAACCCTTCAGAAATGAGCCACTAAAAGGATTGTACAGGGTAGGGAAGTGCTACTGGCTTATACAGAAATGTTAACTGTATGCTGTTTCTAGTTGCATTTTAATCCCATTGGAATTCTGTTGGTCTTGCTGGGGAGAGATGGAATCCCATCTAAAACTCACCCTTGTACTCTAAACAGCATCTGGAGGAAGTTCTCTGAATGCAGACCTCTTTTTGAGAAATGGGTAGCAACTCCAGGTTTTCCTCCCCGCCCCACCAAATTTGGTGTCCAGCCCTTACTGAAACCTTTACCTTCTCTCCCTGAAAACTCCAGCTGCCAGAATGCATGATTGACATCCCAGCTCTGTCACTGAATGACACATGTAATGTCCCTACATAAACCCAAATGTTTAGGTGTGTGGGAAGGGGGAGGTGCTTTACAAATGACTGGATTAAATCCTGTCCATGGTTTTTTTTTAGTACAAACGGTGGCATACAGTCCTGGCAGTCGAAAGTCTACTAGGAGAGGAGATAGAGTTAGCAAAACGGCAGATGTGCTCTTTGCTGGAGGTGGGTAGCTAAAAAAGTGGGTGTGTAATTGAATACTTGGGGTAGCACTGATTCAGCTCATCCTTACTGCAACCTCTGCCAGCGTAGTTCCTGTGGATCCCCTGCTGTAAATTCAAGCTCCTCCCACACCCACTCAGTACAATAATGAGGCAGGGCAGCAGCAGGATTACTGCCTGTCCTTCAATTTCAATCACCTTTTGCCTCTGGGGTATGCAATTTTATATCTCCCCGTGTAGCACGAATTAATTTGGTCCACTGTTAAAGTGTTGAGTGGCGTAAATCAGTGTAGCGAGCTGGTGGGGCAAATCCTCAACTGGTGTAAATAGGCACAGCTCCACTATCTGTTTTTTCCACCAGGCTTATTTTAATGATGATTATCTTGACTGTACCTTCTTGATTTTGAATTTGGGGAAAATTCAAATTCATCCTCACAGCTATAATGGTCTGCTGCATATTAGCATCGATTTAGAATGATGTATTTATTTTGGGGTATATGTTTGTTCACTATGCATGCACCCCCACACACAGGCTGTCAGAATTTGTTTTCCTCACTGTTCAAAGCTAGGAATCTAATGCAAGACAAGCTACATTACCCAGCAAGAATACAAGTGTGACAAAGCTTATCAGTTGCTTTCACTGCCTGATGAAAACAAGATGTTCTTTCTGAATGCAACACTGAAAATCATCAGCCCAGAAAAATGCTAGATTCCTGTTTCATGTTCATGCTGATAAAACTCAGTGCTGTGTGATGGGTTTGTGATGATGCACACATCTGTGATGCTAGATAAAAATCAGAAAATTTGGGCTAGTAATTCCGTGGGGGGCAGCAACTGGCATGCGTGTTTGTTATGCATACAAGAAATGTACCTGCCTACTCTTTTGATAGCTTTACTTCCCTATTCCTGTCCCTTTACATCCCTGTTCAAGAGAGAGAATAAGATTTGCAGTATTTTTAATATCCGTAGTAGTAGTCGTATTATGGTAATGCGCTGCCACCCCATTGAGATCGGGACCCTATTGTGCTAAGCATTGTGGGCCAGATTTTTAAAAGGTATTTAGATGCCTAACGCCAACTGATATCAATGAGAGCTAGACACCTAAATATCTTTGAAAATCTGACCCTGCACATGCACCTTGGGGGAGAGATCCCTGCAATATGTATAATTTCTCCTGGCTGTCTCTGAAAAGTTCTTATTCCATCACATTCTGTTGGAGCATACAATGGTAGCAACATTTTTTCTCTCCAGATATCCTCATTTCTCTCTTTTGAGTGTTAACTAATGCATGGCTCATGGTTGTTAAACATAACACTCCAAACATAGCACTGCCAACAGCCCAACTCCTGACCCTCGGTGTCCTGTACCACACAACTGGGGATGAGCGACATTCCCTCTCCTTGTCACTCGGCTAGAATAGCAGGGGTGCTAGTGATCAGCACAGTTTAACTGGCAGAGCTTGTGTTGCTTCTATGCTATACCTGGCTCACAGTTCAGCACTGTTATCCATCCTGGGTTTAAGTATTAAATTCACAATCTTCTTTAAGAAGAATGCAAATGTCTCTAAGGGTATGTCTGCACTACCCGCCAGATCGATGGGCAGCGATCAATCCAGCGGGTATCGATTTATCGCGTCTAGTCTAGACATGATAAATCGACCCTCGAGTGCTCTCCCGTCGACTATTGTACTCCAGCTTGGCGAGAGGCGCAGGCGGAGTCGACAGGGGAGTAGCAGCAGTCGACTCACCACGGTGAAGACACCACGGTAAGTCTATCTAAGTAAGTGGACTTCAGCGACATTATTCACGTAGCTGAAGTTGCGTAACTTAGATTGATCCTCCCCTTCCCCCAGTATAGATCAGGGCTAAGGGCCCCTTCTCAGCTGGTGAACTAACTTCCAGGAGAACTACACTGATTTACACTAGATGAGGAACTGGGCCATAGTATCAATCAAATGAGTGAAATATTTTAGAGAGATAATATATTTTAGTGGATCAACTTCCGTTGATGAAAGAGATGGGCTTAGAGCTCAGTGTAGCTCGAAAGCTTGTCTCTCTCACCAACGGAAGTTGGGCCAATAAAAGACATTACCTCACCCACCTTGTCTCTCCAATATCCTAGGATCAACATGGCTACAACACTGAAATATTTTACGTATATGCAGTAGATAGAAACACACACGTTTTTCTAAATATTGATCTGCTGTGTTAATATGCTTGCAAGGTAGTAATACATACCATAAGAACATTACTGTAGAGTTGTTTCCCCATAACAAAATACCACCTCTAGCTCTTGGTCTCCTTTTGGAGCTAGCAAGTAGTAATTTCTTGGTACTGTCTAGCTATTGACTTTTGTCTTCTCTATGAAGGGCTTGATCCAAAGCCCTTTGAAGTCAATGGGGTATTTCTACTTACTATGGGTTTTGGATAGGCCCCATAGGAGGACAATGTTTGAAATCTGAAGTGATGTGAATGTTCAGTGTGTCACCATTATCCGTCCCTTGCTTTCTTGAGCACTGAATTTACTCCCTTTATTTCCTTTTAAAAAAGCAGTATTTAGAATGAAATATGTGGCTAGATGGATCAAATCTATTTCATAATCAAGCTACTATTTAACATTTCAGTGCAAATTTTAAAACAAATTAGATTGGTTAAGCTATTTAGGGCCAGAGACTGTTTCATTACTATGCTTGTACAGCACCTGTTACAATGGGCCTCTAGTCCCTGTTTGGGGCTTTTAGCCACTCTGGATATATAAAGCTTACTGCATTTAATAAAAAAAAAAATCACAGACCATAATAGAAGTTGGTGACTTTCCAAGTTAACTAGTAGTTAAAAACCAAAGCTGTCCTTTGAGGCAATATTTTTACCAATATGTTTCACCAGCTGATTTTATCCGCAGGCAGTATTGTACTGCTGCTCTTTCTCTGGGTCAATCACTCTTGGTCTTGTCTATATCTCATTGGAAAGTTATTTGTTCTTTATTGACAGAGTTAATAAGTGACTGACATATTACACCTGATGTCTTAAAACCTACCAGACTGTCGCTCTTTAAAATTAGCCAGCGAGCTTGAAGATAGCGCAGAGTGTTTGCCTTTCAATCTACCACTTACATCTTGACAGACTTTCCCCTTTTTCTGTGCTACTAGGCAGAGACGTCAAAAATGTAGGAATGATAAGCACCGTGGTGCATAACTTCAAAGCCTGGTCCCCTGCCAGTGTTTCAGCTCATACGCCACCCAGACAACAAGTCAGCTAGCCCTTTATTTTATAATTTGTTTATGCAAATCTCTAATCGGAAAGTGATCAGATCTGTTGTAACTTTTTGTGCCAGCTATTTTCTGGTGCTATAGCACTTAATTAGTAGATGCTGATGGAACGGATTTTGGCCAATGATACCCTAATGAGTTATGATTGGGTGTGCATACAGTGACTTCAGTTTAGAAGTTCTATGATGCACATGGAATGAGTTTTTACATTCCTACTTTGCAGCCAAACAGAGCAAATCATTTGCAAATGCTAATGGGGCCAAATTCATCCCTGGTGAATGCAGATGCAATACCAGTGGAAGTCTGTAGGCCAAATTTACATTGGGGCTGGAAGAAGTGCAGTGGTGTAACTTGCATTAATTTAGTATTCACTGGGCATGGAAAACAAGTGCAATTTACACTGAGGGGGAAGAAAGGGTTGGGGCCATAGCAAAAAAAGCAACTTACAGGAGGGTGCAAAGTAGCTTTCCAAAAACTTTCATTTTCACACCTCGCTGTTAACTGATTTTCCTTGATGCCTGTTTCCAACTTATCAACACAAGGTCTGCGAGCGTGGGTGTTCAGAAAGTGAACTGCTCTATTTTACACCTTCCTGCTAGTTGATTTTCCTGCTACATCATCTCAGTATGTAAGCTACACTTGTTTTGCATACCCATTGAATGCCTAAATTGCACAGGTTATATTACTTGCACTCTATGTATAACATACATTGTCATTTAAGTTACCAATACATTTGGCTTAGTGCTTATTTGCTGGTGTCTTCTGATATGAATGCACTGAACTACATAGATGTCTGCAAAGAAGAGCATCATCTTGTACTCTTATTATCCATAAACCTTAAATAGTCCATATGTGAATTTTGAAAGCTTAATTATTCATAGCAGTGAATTTCACTCTTGTATATAGGGATGGCTTAAATTGTTGAGGGTCTGATTCAGCAAAGTGCTTAAACAATGAGACTATTCAAATGCTTAGTTATATATGTGCCCAAGTTCCTTGCTGAACTGGGACCTGTTATAAAAGAATTGTCTCAGACCATTGCCCAGAACCTGAACTGAACCTAGTCATTTAGAGCTTTGAAAATAACTATTAATATGGCCCCATTTCTGTGCCCTTCAGTACATCCCAGTTTCAACCTGAAGTACCAAGAGAAGACATTCCTCCAGTGATAGCAAAATTGGAAGCCCCAGTATATATATGGGCCACCATTTTAAGCATCATATCCGCTATACTTGCTCAGAGAGTCTAATTGACTTACTGCTTAAAACACCAGCAGCAGCCTTTCTCATAGATTTTAAGGCTAGAAGGGACCATCATGATCATCTAGTCTGACCTACTTCACATTGCAGGCCACAGAACCTCAGTCACCCACACCTGTAATACACCCCTAACCTCTGGCTCAGTTAGAAGTCCTCAAATCACGATTTAATGCAGGAGCGATGGAAGCTCCCTAAAAATGCTGGGGGGTGGGGGGGCACTGGTGCCCAAACCATGGTCTTGCCCCCATGCTGCCCCTTCCCCCAATGCCCCACCCCCGCATCACTCATCCTTACAGCCGGTGAAAAGTGATGGGACCATGACCCCTGGCCTCCCCAGTTCTAGTGCCCCAGATTTCAAGACTTAGTTACAGAGACTTCACCATTTACACTAGTTTAAACCTGCAAGTGACCCATGCCCCATGCTGCAAAGAAAGGTGAACCCCCCCTGCCCCCAGGGTCTCTGCCAATCTGAAAATTCCTTCCTGCCCCCAAAATATGATGACCAGTTAGACTCTGAGCATTTCAGCAAGACCCAACTGCCAGACACTTGGGAAAGAATTATCTGAAGTAACTCAAAACTCTAGTGTCTCATCGGCTATTGGGGATATTTGCTACTAGCAGTCACAGATCAGCTACGTCTCATAATACCATCCCCTCCATTAACTTATCAAGCTCATTCTTGAAGCCGGTTAGATCTTTTTGCCCCTACTACTCCCCTTGGAAGGCTGTTCCAGAACTTCACTCCTCTGATGGTTAAGCTAGCCCTCCCAACGTTGGTATACCGCAGTATGATTAGGGGAGCTGGAGTAAGATGGTCAGCTTTGGGAGTAGTCGTGGTGAAATTTGGTGGCTCAGGAATGCTGCCAGACAAAGAGTAGAAGCCCCTTCAGCATTGTTCTCTTCTGTGAATCAAGTTTTGTTTCCTACAGTTCTGACTGACTGTGCCAACACCTACTGCTAAAGAAACACTAATGGAACAGAACCAGCTTGGCAATGGTGGGAAGTTAGGAAATTTTTGAAAAAATGGAATGGAGGTTCAGAAAAGCTTGTTCTTGTGAGATTTCTGTTATAGCCATGGTGGGTTGGGGGGGGGGGGGAGAGAGAGAAAGTTGGGATAAATTGAAAGATGTCAAACTTCTGGATCCGCATTGGAACCTCAACTTGCTTGCTTGCTACCTCTCACCAGTATTCACTAGTGCAGGGGTCGGCAACGTTTGGCACGCGGCTCGCCAGGGTAAGCACCCTGGCGGGCCGGGCCAGTTTTATTTACCTGCTGACGCGGCAGGTTCGGCCGATCGCGGCCCCCACTGGCCGCGGTTTGCCGTCCCGGGCCAATGGGGGCGACGAGAAGCGGCGCGGGCGAGCGATGTGCTGGCCGCGGCTTCCCGCCGCACCCATTGGCCTGGGACGGTAAGCCGCGGCCAGTGGGGGCCGCGATCGGCCGAACCTGCCGCGTCAGCAGGTAAATAAAACTGCCCCGGCCAGCCAGGGTGCTTACCCTGGCGAGCCGCGTGCCAAACGTTGCTGACCCCTGCACTAGTGTTACCTGCTCATTGAAACTGAAGTCAGTGGGTGACTAGTAGGAGTTAAGGACTGTAGAATTTGCCTAATGGTAAACTGAAGTCCATGACCCAGAACAGTGCACCCTCTATGCTATATATAGTTTTTCAAAGGGGTTTAAAAGCCTATTGCATTTTAATATTCAATACCTCCCATTGGAAAAAGAAGCCACAATGTACCCCCAAGTGATCGAAGGGCCTCAGCCCAATGAGCTAATGGATATCGAGGTTCTATGATTAGCCAAGAATTAACAGTGTTTCAGGGAAAGAGGCTTAAGTATGAAAGTCTTTAGTGAAATACATCTGTCAGAGTATGTTCTATGCACTTTTAGCTTAAAAAAGAACGGAAAATAAAATGCACAATAGCTTAGTTCAATACAGAAACAAACTGTTCATTTACCTTTTCTGCCTCAGACCCAATCTCAAGCTGCTGCTTCTGCTTAATGCAGATCTGCCCCACTTTTGCCAGGAGCTCGTGTGGGTGGATGAAGACTCGGGAGCTCAGTAGGAAAGTGAAGATGTAAGTTCTCTGCAAGAAAGATGGGTGGGGAGGGGGAAACAAGTGAGAAACTTGAGCAGAACAACAGATGGAGCTTTCCCTAGGTTAAGCTTTCTGCATATCACCTTCCCCAGGGATCAATGCCCCTTCCTAGCTTTACTGGTAACAATAGGAAGAAATACACACTGTTTCAGAAGCTGTTAATAGAGCTATTTTTTTCAGATTCCCAAATTATTTGTCACGTCAAGATACCAAACTAAATATGCCTAGGTAGTTGTCCTTCACCAAAAAGACGAACGACATCTGTCCAAGGATGCTAGCACCCCATCTTGAACACTGTTTTTTATGCTGCTTTGTTTCTTTAAGAGCAATTGTTTTTATTTGACTGCCCAAAACCTATTGCAAGTTAGTTCCAAACCACAGCAGTGTTTTTGTTTCATGTGTGTTTTTCCTTTCCATGCTCTTTCCCACAATCAATGTTACAGGCTTGGGTTCAGTTTGCACTCAGATGACAATATTTCAGTTTTAAGCCAGTAAAACTCTTTGCTTCCTTGAGGCCCAATTCAGACCCCTTTGAACTTTTATAGCACTAGATCAGTGGTAAGCATTATTATTATCATTAGGATTAGGACCTCAATGTGTACTTACACAAGCTGGGTCAGATTCTGTTCTGAGTTACAGCCAGGCAGCTCCATTGATTCAAGGTGAATATATGTTCAAGTGACACAGGGTAACATTTGTCCCATTTGTTTTTCTGAACTCCTAATGCAAAAGTTTCATTTGTGACTTGGCTTCTCTACAAGCACATTCAAATGTAACCTCATGAGGACTGATAACATCTCCCAGTTTATTAAGCAGCACAGTCTAGGTTGCCTTTGCTGTTATTCTTTAGAATTCTTGACTTTGTGCAATTTGGAATTGGAAAACTGTTCTCAACTGCTTAAACTTGAGCACGTAAATGACCAAATTTGCAATGTTTCGTGTTAATTTTGCATCAGGTTTACAGAAACTGGAACTGGCATGCTGAAACCAGGCAGGTACATAACTGACTAATTTACACACGCACACATGTCTGTGGGATTGCACAAGTGAACTGAGGCCCCAGCAAATTTAAGGCAGATAGTCAAAAATGTGGCCTCTGTTGTATTAGCTGTCCACTAGACAATCAGATGACCTTGTCTATTTTCTTCAAAAACACTCACATTTTAAATCATGATGGTCTCTTTATCAATCCAAAGAAAAGATGATTTTTCTCTCTAATTACAGGCAAATAGGCTGTTAATACAGACATTTAGTTTCATGATGTCCATTATGCACAGTGTTATAACATTTGTAGCAGAGCAAATCCCTCTGAAGCAAAAGAGAAAAGGAAGCTTTTATGAAAAAATTGAACAGAAAATGACTGTTTCTTGGGAATGAGAGAATTGTAGACTGAATACCATCGGTTACAGAACTGCTTCTATCCCCTGTTGAGGAAGGGGAACAGAGCTAAATTACAAAGGGTGCGTTTTAATAGTTCATTCTGGTTTTAGAGATCTGGTTTTGGTGATGCTCCTATGCTTTGAATTGAGAGTTTCACTAGTATCAGTAATATCTGTAGGACCAGAATGAACTTTTAAAGGTCTGTATCCACTATGGATGGACTAAGGAAGTAAGGGAGACACAGCTGGCTAAATCTGGAGATTTGGGGTCTAATGCTTAACTGCTGTAATACAGAAAAGCTCTGTTGATACCCATGGGCAGCTGTGTCCTGTGATCAGGCTCAGATGGAAGTTAGCTCAGGCGACTGGATACTCTTCCTGGTGTGAGAGTAGGCTGGTTATAACATTTCTGACATATTGCAGTTCAGGATAGTTTACAGACCATTCTTGGTTTGGCATTTTGCTCAAGAACTTTTCTTATTTGCAATGAATTATGGAAGTTGCACATGATTCCTTCACATGCGCCTGGAAATGGTTATTACTCTGCTGCCAATCTGTGATGAAAATGTATAAGCATAATTCTTTGGCAGTGGGTGCTCTATATTTTTGAGATAATTTGAAGTTGGAATGAACCCCAACCTTGTCCCACAAATAGGAAAGGAGACTCAACAGAGTTACAGGCCAATGTCTCAGATCTGTCTTCTCACATTCCATACAGTATAGGCCTAGCAAATGCAACAGGCAGCAGCGCTGCATTTGAGAAATAAACTTCAGAGTGCCAACTCAAAATAGTAACATGTGAAAGTACTGTTGTGGTGTGTTATAAGCCATGCATAGTTCACTTCTATTCCTGTTGTTTTCCCCCCTTACAGCCAAATTCTGCACTCACATATATGCTCCCTCTGACTTACGGCAATGGACACACCCTGGTGTAGTTGAGGAGAGACTTTAGCACTTGGGTGCAGCTCTTATACTTGTAATTGGACTGTGTATAAATTCTTCTTCTGGAAATGGGTCAAGTCCTTCTTGCTTTGACACTCCCTCACCTCCCAGTCTGTGAATAACTAGAAAAGAGGTGTGAAAGGTTTGTCTCTCCAAGTCCCCTGGGTTTTCCACAAATGCACTTTTCTGCGAGGGGAGGAGGGAATACTGTTGAGACTGTCAGGAAAACTGCCTTTACTAGGTTAGTAGAAGATAGCTGAAATATAAGCTGCACTGTCCTATCAATGACCTTCGCTCTGATAAGCTAGGCCACATTCTTTGTGGCAAGATATATTTTAGCCTTGCACACTAATTCTAGTCTAGGTCTCTTCCTGAAAGTTTGTGTGCTGTGGGATACTGTTTATCCAGAGTGAATCCGAGATAACCATACTCAGAATACCAGTTCTTTAAAGTCCTGCTGTAGGCTGGGACTAAATCCAAATGATCAGGGCTCTTGTGGTCTTTTTTTTTTTTTTTGGTGGTTTGTGTTAAAACAGTGCTCACAAAAGTGCAGAACTCGTACAGCCAGAAATAGCGCAGGCAATGTATATCTCATTTCTAACTAGCAATAGCCACACAGTGCCAATCCAGGCCTTCTCCAGAGTTTGGGCTGCCTGTTTTTTGATAGGAACAAAATCCCCCATGGCATTGGTTTTGCCCAGTATTTAATTTACTGGGACCAGATTCACAACTGGTGTAAAATGGAATAGTTGCATTTCTGTCAGTAGAGAGATGCCAGCGTACACCAGCTAGGAATCTGGCCCCATTTGTCCAGGCTTCTTGATCTGATTCTGCTGTAATTTACACAAGTGTAAAATCAGGAGGAAATCCAGGTGAGTAATGAGTGCAAACCTGGTGTATGTCTCTCTATTTGAATAATGAGCCTCTAGGGTAAGGTCTGGTCACTGCCCACCTCATCCTATTCCATTGTGTGTTGAGTCTAGGTTGAACAAATGAAATGAGTCCCCCCCTGACCCCAGTACATACATACTCACTATCTGGTACAGATGTCTTAGGCCCTGTCTACGTGGGGGATTTTGGTGATTGTTACAGCTGTGCTAGTTCACATATCCAGTGGAGATGGTCCACACCAGTGTAAACCATGACTCTGACCAGTGAAGCATACCTCAGCTTTAAAGCCCTTACTAGGTGATCCCACTCCCATTGACTTGAATGGCAGTTGGATCAGACCCCTCAGTCTGCTAAACAGACACAATTGCCCTAAAAGGTGGAAACCAGTGTACTGGGAGCTTAGATGAGATCACCTAATCTTTTTTAGTTTGTGTGTGAGCCATAAACCAGGATTTAAATTGGAGGCCTCTTGAGGGGAAAAAGCTGTTGCTTTGAACCAGCTTTATTTAACACACAGACACACACGCTGTCTCATAGGTGCTCCCTCTTTTTTTGATTAAGATGGCTTGGACCAGGAAATTCAGCTATGTAGCTAGCTGGTTTGACAAAGAATGATTTAAAAAATGCGTCCTTAAATGGTGAGGTTGAAAGTTATGCCCCAATGCTGACAGGTATTTGGAAGAAGATGAGGAAAATTCCTCTCGGCACTTTAGAACAACTTAAGCTGACACAAAAGGGGTCTGTGCTTTACAAGAAAAAAAGGAAGCAGATTTCTTTAGTTCCTAAAGTTGTTGCTAAGAGACGTCCTAAACTATAAAAAGGACAAAGAGAGAGAGCAAGACTAAAGAGCAAGACTAAAGAGGCAACTGTTACTTTATGGCCCAAGAATGTACTGATGTCTTCTTGAGGAAATATTTTCCTTGTGCTCTTGCTGCTTGATCTGGAACTTCTTATTTGTGAAATAGTTGCTTGAAACTTTCTCTTGCTTGGGCATGAGGATTACAGACCAGTACATTCCATTCCTAACTTCCAGAACACTACTGTCTCATGAGCACACATTCTTCTATGCACCAGAGAAGCCTCTGTACACAAACAAGCCTCCCAGGAGCAGCACACAAACATAGGCCCTTATCTCGCCTCTCCTCTCCCTCCTGCTGACCTCCATCTACAGCTCTGCCAACATGACAGAGAAGTCTTGTGTTGCTTGAAACCAGAATGGAAAAATACAGTATTTTTTCCCCATCCGGTTTAGGGAAGGATACTGGG